AGAGTACTAATGGTCTCATTAATCACATCACGTTCAAATTTCTTTCTATTTTACTCTCAACTACCCTTCCACTCTTACCTATACACCATTTAATAAGGAGTATCATAGTCTATCTTTTCAAACCTTAATATATGCTAAATAATCTAGAATTATAATTATTTTGGGACGGAGGTAGTAAGATATTAAACCTAACATCTTCATATTTTTAACCTTCTCATAATTTGATATTGCCCGTCTTTAGCTTTACTAATAAATGGTGAGGTTTATTTTGGTAACGGTAAACATATACTACCTCCATATTAAAATATAGCAATCTAGAATGAGATGAGATATATTCTAGGACTATATATTCATAGTCCTAGTTGTTACATTTTAGGACGGAGAGAATATTTTTTTAAGCAAGTTTACTGGGAAGCTTTGCAAATACATGCGGCGTGCACATTGGTCCAGACCAAACGAGCAAATGTTCGATGTACTCAAGCCAAACGGGCAGCTGGCTGAAACTGTTCCTGCCAGCAAAGCCAGCGGCTGAACGGCCAACCAATGCCGCGCTGCACTGAACTCAGCATCAGTCGCGCGGGCCAGAGCAAACGTTCTCTCTCGCACCGCACGCGGCCTGACCCCGCCCACGTCGGCGGCCGTCCCGGACTCCCCCCGGTCGTGCGCGCCCCGGAGAAATCGCGACAGGGAGAGCCGCACCGCATGCGCCCCCGGCCATCCCATCCCGTCGCGCTCCCCGCCCGAGCGATTCCTCCCGATCGGCCGTCCGGGCCCCGTCCCCCTCCGTCACAATAAGTGCCCAAAGTCGACGAGGCCTTTTTCACGTGCCCGCGACGGCGACGCACTCTTCCCCCCCCCCCCCCCCCCCCGGTTCCCCCGCCCTGTCGCCGCCGCCTCCTCCTCTCGTTCCAGCGCGCGAGCCAGAGAGAGAGAGACGGGCCACGGAAACGGGTAGTAAACCACGAATCATTCCGCCCGCGAAAAAAACGATTGGCGACACCGGGTGGGCAGGCAGGCAGGCAGGCAGGCAGGCGACCGGATGATTGATCGTGTGGTTGATTGATTGATTTCAGCGACCGAGACGAAGGGAGGGGAATGTGTTGATGTTGCTGGGTGTCGTGTCCAGGAAAGGCCCGGACAGGAGGAATATTAAGCGCGAAAAGGCAGCCGCTTTGATTCACCAACACTTTGATTCCAGCGACCCATGATCTGTCACTCTGCCGGACAAACTGCTCACTCCTCCCGGGTAATAAGGCTAGCCTACACTCTATTACTCCTAGTGTGTGTATTCTTTTTTGAGATTATACTTGGCGTAGGTGAACTGTCCCGGTCGGACCATTCAATGGGGATTCTTTCATTGGCAAAAAAGGACGTCTTCTCTCAACAGTGATAGACTGATAGTACTATACGAGTACAGAGTATGTATACAAGCAGTAATGTGGTAGTATCAAGTAGAGTATATACTTTGAAAAGGTTGTGTGACCACTCCGGCTGATTGCTTGAGCTTGGTGCATCTCATGGAAAGTGAGTTTATGTATTAAAATGGCTATTGTTCGAAGGCGAAAAGCAACAGACGAAATTGTCACGAGGATATGATGTGTTTTTTTTATCAGCTACTACTCTTCAGATAATGGTTTTCCTGTATAACGAAAACTCTTCGGATAATGGTGATAAGCTCTAAACAAACGAGAGTGCATGCATGCACGCAGGAATCGTGGTAGTTACAGAGCGTTAAATCGGTACGGTTTGGTTCCTTAAACTATTTTATAGCCCGTCTCGTACAAGGTTATGGGTCATGACTGTGAAATGCTCCGGCTCGAGAAATTCAGAGATGGGGCATAGCATCTTCAGTGCGGCTGTCTCTGCTCCACAAAGCCTGAAGCCGATATAGTACAGAGAAAAGATGTGCTCTTTCTCTTTGATGGAAGCATCTGGTGTTTTAATAACATCCGATGGTACGCGAGATTTCGTCTGGTGATACTGCTTTAGGAGCTCGGAGGTTAATTAAGTTGAGGCAGGCCCCGGGAATTGCCATCGTGGGCCATGTTCTTGTCCCCGTTAGTGGACAAGATGGTTACATCGATATTCTGTCAATGCTGGTGTTCCAGAGTCCAATCCTTTAGTAAGTACTGTAGACAAGTTGTGATCAACTGATCAGGACAGGTTCAGAGACAACTATGCAGGAATTATCCTCTCTTTATTGGATTTATTTATAACCTGATATTGGTAGATATTTAATCCTTTCTTTTTTAGGGGCAATAATGTTAGTGGACGAAAATATGTCAAGCATTTTTCTAGTCATTTGTCCCTTTTGACAAGTTAAAGATCTCAACTTTATGGAAAACAGAAACATTCTTATTTTTTTTATAAAGTTCATGATCTTAGCAAGAGAAGAAAATTAAAGGGTATATTCGCAACAGATCAAAGAGCAATGACTAGGAAATCAGTCAAGATCTTCCCCCATATCTCCTTCTAGATCCAAAGTTTTCAGGATCATTCAGGTTCCTACCATCTTTCAGGTGCAAAATACCTTTCTATTGTGATCACAAGCAAAATATGCATTCTGCACAAAGTCACAGCAAGCCCCAGCAGATTCTTTTCTCTTTCCATTGTTGATATCAAGAAGCAAAGCGTTTCCTACCCTGTAAACCTAAGGACTCTTGAAACCGAAGAAAACAAAACCAAAGCCAATTTCTTGATTAATCGCCAAGGCAAGGCTAAATAACCCTTTATGTCAGGGTTGACCCAAACACCTCACCTCATGAAGGAATTCCAGAGCAGCAACACAACGGCACGTAATGCCAACGGTAAGAACAAAGGACGCCACTCTGGAGGCAATTAAAATTTTGCTTCCCAAGATACGGACGCCGTTTTTTCTACTACGTTTGATTGCACTAAACACAATACTTTAATGGCCATACGGCCATACAGACGAATATCTTAATGGCCATATGGACTAATATTCCCCTAATCCTTCGTCACCAGTGGCAGGCAATGGCATTAACCGCATTGTCTAGTGGCAACGGGAGAAACTGATGTTGACTCTCTGATGAGAGAGGCAGGCCTGAACATGTCTGGATAATGCTCGCATCGTCACATGACAGTCGAACACGACCGTTGAGTGTGCTTAGTTACCTTGGATCTAAAGCCATTTCAGGCTGGCTTCAACGCTGCAACGCCTGCTTGATTGGATCGATGCAGATACTACATCTTCGTTGACGAGAGATCCCATGGTTTTAGTGTCCGTTGCGATGGTAAATCCAACACAGTGTTTGGTTCTTGATGCCTGAAGAAGCAGCTGAAGAAAACTGAGGGGAGAAGGATTTACAGTGTCCTTTCAAGACGGCTCTGAATCTCAGTATCTGAATCTGATGATTCTGATCACCTAACATTCGTTTAATTAGTTGATAACTTGATTATATATTACTAACAGCTTTTACCCATCCATGATGCTGTACTATTTGATTCTGATTCTGATCTCTGAGCCGACCCACAGCTGCAGTTTTGTCATTATCCAAATGGACTCCATCAAAGATCACATCAAAGGCCATAAGACAGGGACATCAGCAAAAGCGATTGTCCGTTAACCCAACCACCGTCTAAAATGCCATATGGAATGATTACATTTCATCTCATCTCATTTGCCCCCAACACTTCACCAATAATCAATACTTATTAGCAAGGACACAGCACAAAACCATTAACATCACAAAAAAGAGAGGGAAAGAAATCACTAATAGTAATAAAGTTGTTATCAACAGGTTGTTTACCTTTCCTTCCGTCATAATTTATCTCTTCCTAGCACTCCTCCACTAGCTCCTACATAAAAGACCGGATTAATCAAATCCAGGGTCACAGCTGCCTCCATTACTAAAAAAAATTGTATCTTTAAAAAAAAGGGGAAAAAAATAGCGATTGAAGAAGCAATTTGTCACAAACAGTTCATGCTTCACCTAACGCGAAATTGGACAAAGTCCATCTATAATCACTAGCAGTAGTTGGTAACCGTGGACAAGAAGTATACAAGCTAATAAGCTATGGATTAGTATGGAATCATATAGCTGGAAACATGTGTTCTTTTTTTGCTAATCCCCTCCCTAATTACCACACACATGCCATCTAGCTCAGAATGATACATGCAAACTCAGCAAATCATGCACATTTTTCTTATTTTCTCAAAATTAAATGGTTGAATTAGTCAAGGACACTATTGCACTAATGCCAGTAGCCGTTGGAAGGGCAACAGATTAACAACAAGAGAGTACATATTTCACATGTTTGCAGCTCCTGGGAGACAGTCCAGATAAGAGCATCTCAACTGCCTTCTAGCATTTTGACAATGCCAACTTCTTCAGGCTCAATTATGGAATGGATTATACACTGATTACTCTCCAGAACTAAATTATCCTTAGCATTGAAGGTGCACAGAAATGTGCAGTATAGATTAAGTAATAAGACGATCCGAAATGCTGCGTAATTGCGCTTAATGTAATGCAGTATAGATTAAGAAAGCTTGTTCGTACCACTAAGTAACTGCAAGTTGGCAATGTACCATATATCGTCCGTCCCAATCTGGGAGCGTGCAAGAAAGAATCAACTGATGATAAATATGAAACAATTGGATTAGCATTATAATGATGGATCAAGTCACTGCTTTTCTTTCAGATAAGTTGGACATGGCAATGCAGATGTAGAAAGGGGAACAAGACTTAGCAAAGGGGGAAGCAAAACTGGTTACCCCTTAGCTCATCCATTTGCACATTTTCATAGGTGAAGCAATAGAAAGAAAAAGGAGCAAGCCAAGGCAATCGTGGAATTGCCAGTTTAACAAGAAGGCCCCACAGAGCACATCGGGAGATCCTAAAGATTGTCCCAAAATCCCTTGTTATCTTTTCGAACGGCCAAATCCCTTGTTATCCATTCACTATCTGTGCAATTTTCACCCTTTGTTCTATGGAAGGAACAAAAAAAATCCTTTTAGATAGGCACATGAACTGAACAAATTGCAAATTGGATGCAGTTTCACTTCTGAATTTTTATATAATGGACATAGATTACATCTCCGGCTCTCCGGCTTCTGTTATAAGAAGCACAGCCATAAGTTTCACTTCAGAATGGCAGAGAGTTTCTCTCAAGAAAGGTGCAGGATTTGACAATGTGGTTGCTTAATTCCATTTTGTCGATTCATGAAATGGACAGAACCAAGTGAAGCATTCCAAATTTCTAATTCCATTATTTGTTGCGAGGATGATGCTAAGGCAGTATCGAAAAGTCGAGGAGACACACGATCGCTGTTACAACATGGACGAACACCTCGGTGTGCCACTGAATCGAGCTGAGCTGAATAGCTGATCAGCTGAAGCGAAGAGAGCAGAGCGATCTCTGCACGGGCCATGGTGGTGGGTGGCGATCTCAAGTTCTCAACTCTACGCTCTCAGAAGCCGTTCATCTCTAGCAGGTAGGTGCGGCGCTTGCTGAGCGCGCTGACGGCCTCCCTGTACGGGCCGTCGAATGCGTCGGCGACGAACTCGTCGAGCTCCTTCCTGCCGCCGCCGATTCCGCCGGCCTCGCCGACGGGCTTGATGACGACGAGCGTGGCGCCCTGGATCCGCGTGCCGTCGGAGAGCTCGAGCATCGGCGCGTACCGGAGCTTCATGTTGCAGGCGGGGACCTGGGTGCGGTTGGCCGCGGCGGCGGCGGCGAGCGGCTTGTCGCGGAACTCCCTGATCTGGTCGCGCCCCATGCTGAGCGTGCCCTGGCCGTGCGCGTCCGTGAGCGCCACCCGCTCCAGCGTGGGGTGCTCCTTGACGATCTCGCGGAGGAGGTAGTGCCTTGTGGCCGCGGCGATGAGGGAGCTGATGGTCCACACCACGCGCAGCTTGAGCCCGCCGTTGGTGTAGAACGACTCCGGGATGCTCCCGGTGTCGTCACCCTGCGAGGCCTCGCTGTCCCCGGCGGCGGTGGCGGTCGCCGCCGCCGCGGCGGGGGCGGCGGCCCGGTCCACCCTGGTGCCGCCGAGGATGACGCAGCTCTGGAGGGTGCTCCCGAACACGGCCTTCCACCTGAGCAGCACCCCGTCGTCGGTGCCGACGTCGGAGACGGGGAGCTCCATCCGGAGGTTCCGGATGCTGCTGAAGTTCTTCAGCACCTGCGCCGGCGAGTGGTGCTGCTGCGCGCCGCAGCCGCCGCCGCCGCCGCCGTGCTTCCCCGCGCGCTCCCCACCACCGCCACCCCTGACCCCGGCGTCGCAGTGCCCGAACGGCTTGAGCACGGCGAGCAGCATCGCCTTGAGGAGGTGCGACAGCACCCCGCGGCCGGCGGGGCGCGGGCCGGCGAGGCCGAGCGCGTCGTCGGCGTCGGCCGCGTCGGTGATGACGCGGTCGATGCGGAGGCAGGCGTCGTCCACGAGCGGCACGAGCGAGTTGAACCGCTTGGACACGGCCGAGCACCGCCCCAGCGAGCGCGCGTCGGCGAGGCGGTTGAAGATGAGGAGCACGAGCGAGTCCGGGACGCGGTCGAAGTGGTCCTCCCCTTCCGCCTCCCGCGGCAGGAGCAGGTCCTCCGCGAACACCCTGTGCCTCGACTGCATTTTCGGTTCCGCGAACAAGGAGATTGTGAGATCGAAGAGGAGGAGGGAGGGAGGTAGGTGCGGTAGGAGGAGGCGAGTGAATTGAAGGGAGGAAGGCGGAGGTGGTGGGTTTATAAAGAGGAGAGGACGGGGCTCGCTAAACACCATGACTCGCTGTCGGGCCCTTGCAATCATACCGTTACAGATGCGGCCTCTCCTCTCCTCTGCTCGGCGTTTTTGCGTGTTGCCATTGTTTAATGGTCGACCAATTAGTGTGTAGGGCTAATGGCAACTAGGCAGCAACGGTACACTTTCCATCGGCAAGTTTATACTGGTGTGGTGTAAATACATGTACTCGCGTTCCTGCTGCATGCAGTCACCGCGCCCTACGTACGTGGCGAGCGAGGCTGTGTAATGACACTGTGCAACCTCATAACCGGTGGCAGCCAGACAGAAATGGCCTGTCTGTGTGGGAGAGCAGTGATAATAACACGAATGAAATCCGTTCTGATTTCTAGTGGCATCAAACTGGCTTCCGTTTTCCACGTTTTCTATGCAACGAGTTTTTCATATGGTCCCTTAGAAGTAACCCACTCTCTATTTCAATTTACTTATCAGTCTACGTACTCCGAATTAATAATACTTATCATTTTAGATAATAACACGGTCTTAAAAACATAACTTTGACAACTAGTACCTTCTATTATAATATATATAAAAATATCAATAAATATATGGTTTTATTAAAGTACTTTTTAATACTAATCTACACATATGGTTTTTATATTCTAAGATAAATATTTTAAAAATTATTTGTAGTCAAAGATTTTAAAGTTTGACTTTACCCTTGTTTAAAACAACTAATATTATTAGCCAGGAGGAAGTAGTATTTAATTTTTTTTTATTAAAAAACTTATTGTTGTCATATTGTAAAGCACATTCAGAAGTGTCTTTCCCTTCATATCTTTCATCATTGTAGCCATATTAATAATATTACTTCTTACCACCATGAGTTTTAATGCTGGCTTTGGGTAATATTACTTTTACCATGAGTTTTAATTAATTGTAATTTTTAACCAAACGTCCTATTTAGTGTGACAAGCAAATTGAAACGGACGGACTATATCCATTTATTAAGTTGTGGTATCTCAACATAAGTATGTATGAGTTGCGGCGCAAATAAACGCTATAATACGTGGTATGGTGTCTCTTTGATAATTTTTTTAAAAAGCTATTGTCAGACATGATACATCATGCATAATACCTCTAAAGCTCGCGTGCAAATGAGTCATTTGCATCAGCCTAACTAGAAAATGTAGCAAGCTAGCTTAATTTGCCAAATAAAAGTTTGCACAAAACTATTGCTTGCTAAAATCATACTAAATCAAACTATATATAGTCAATTATTATCCAAAAACACTTTTTCCCATTCTTTAAAAGAAAAGGGAGAACAACAGAATCTATGAGATCTAACCATGTACAACACTTTTGGGGATAAAGTCTCTTTACACTAATCATGCATATCATTGAATCAAAAGCAATTTAATATTCTGGCGTCACTGAAGTAGAATAGAGACGATAAGTGCATAATACAATTCTTTATTACTTGCAACTAACTTTTATATACGTATTAATTTCTGTTTTGTACTAATACATTTGAAAAATAAAACCTTTACACACATAGTTGCCATTAGAAATAAGCTAATATCAAACTTTTTGAACATTTAAGAACTCGAAGAGAAACAATCCAATCTGTAAAATATTTCCAACAAATATTCCTTGGACTGAAAATGTATACTGCTAACTGTCAACTGATTTTGTTGGCACAAGAGTTGCTTTTCTCATGACCGGTTTACTGGGCAGATATCCTGCTGATCAAGTACTATGCACGGCCGTGTACATTTTACAGAGTGGGCGTGACTTTCTGCATTGTACGTAGTAGCAGAAAAAAACTTACTGCTCCACGAACGGAACTACCGAAATCAAAGCAAGATCAGTAGCTTCATTATTTGTCCTATCATAAGGACAGCTTAAAACCAACACGTTTCCGTTGTGTGCAACTTTAGTTCGATGTAATAGTACTACTTCTGTCCCATATTACTTGTTTTGACTTTTTTACAATGTTTGATCATTCGTTTTATTTAAAAAATTAGTACAAATATAAAAAATAATAAGTCAAACTTAAAGTACTTTTGATAATAAAACAAGTCACAAATAAAATAAATAATAATTCTATTTTTTTAATAAAACGAATGATCAAACATTAAAAAAAAACTCAAAGCGACAAATAATATGGAACGGAGGTAGTAGCTGTTTAATTTGTGGTCCTTCATCCTTGTGTGCTAAGGCTAATACACCATGCATGCAACTAACATCAAGGACATGTATGGTAGTCCTGTGGTGAGGAGAATTGCAGTTATTTTGCAATGTTAGATTTTTTTGCTTGTTCTAATCTGCCACCTATTATTGATTAATAGGTAGTAGGTATCTTCACTAATTGTGCGTCTCTCTGTCCTAGCTTAGGTTCACAAAGGTAGATGGGAGTAGGTGCTATGACTTATGAGGAGTAGGTTCAAGGTTTGTCTTCCCAACTGAGCATTTGTACCAATTGAACTTTGCCAAATGATGCACCTCTATCTCTATGGCTACCGTTATTTTACTGGGTTTTGCTTTCGGGAAATATTGGAGTTGGAAACAAAACCATATAGGTAGTTCCAATGTCTCTGTGAAACATGACAAAAAAAATCGATAGAAGTCATCTTTTGTTTATCTTGATTTCCCAAATGCTGATATTTTCCCTTCCTATGTAAATTGAGACTTGGAACTATAAATAAGCACAACAATGAACCTAATGTAGAACTTTTTAGATAATGGATTGAAAAGCATTATTGTTGTTGAAGTATACTGTACAAGTCCAAGCTTTGGATGAAACTAGCTTATACACTTGTAACAAAATATGGCATCAGGGTTAGAGGTATACCCCGCTCAATTCCTGGCCAGTGAAATCAAATAAAGGAAAGAAAAATCTAGGAGTTAATTTTCAAAACTAGGTGTAGATATTTTAAGCGATAACTGGTTTTACTAGGAGGATAATGCATGGATATACTTTCATTTTCTCATTAATTCTCGGTGCTAATTAAAAGTAACTTCATTGTGATTCGATTCCTAGGAAGTCGTCATACCAATTTTCAAGCTTCCTCTTAGCTACAAATGTTATAAAACCGGCTCTGAAATTCACACCGGAAAACGTCATAGGAGATCCAAACATGATGATGACACCGAAGCACGATATTTGGTAACGGAGTTCAGCCGTAGCCTACATATCAGGGACACTGAAACAAATTCGTTGTAAGGGTGCACCTAAGAAATTTCTAGAGCTTGGACGAAACTTTGGGTAAATGTAGTATCCTTTCTGAACGCAGCTCCTCCCTCTTTTCCACCATGCATCAGTTATCCCACTCAGATGCCTAGAGTCACTAGTCTTTCGGCCTCATCTTTTAGCTTATGTTTATGCTTATAAGCCAAAATTTAAATTTTTAACTTTAAATTTGGAGTTGATTTTAGGGTTTTTTTTTTCATCGTAGTTTATTTTCAGCCTTTGCTTTTATATCGCTAAGAACACGTATATAAAAGTTTTATTTATAAATCATTTTCCATTTATAAATATGTTGTTTCTCTTATTCCATCAATAAGCAAAACGATGGAGTACTTTAGCCTTTAGGTTTACCATGGTTTGGTTATCCGGCCTCAATCATAAAAGGAATTAAGAATACAATATACCACACCTGAAAACAATTTAAATGGAAGGGAAGATAACCTACCACGCTCGTGTGCGAATATATTGGCAACTTGGCATCCATGCACCGATAGAGGATGACCGTTTCAATGGGAGTTTTCCACTCCCGCACAGGCACCCACCTCGCAACCGAATCAATCAGTTGCACACGAGCGACGAGCTAGCGTAGCTGCTACCAGTTTGCAAGCATGCGACCATGCGTTCGTGCCCAGCGTTGCACGCAAGGCCAGAGGAGAATCTAATCGACCACGTCCTAATAATGCGATGCGATAACATCATAACAGTATTATCACTAATCTTTCAGCTCACTGAGTTGTACATATGGTCCACTGCTGGTAACATGATTGGGAACCACCAAAAGGGAAGCATCACAAACAAACTTAATACTGCAAAGAATATGATATATATTCGTATTGATGATTGATCGGTCAGCCCATGAACTGTCCGTACTCGTGCTTAAGCTACCAATTGGTGCATTTGTTTTAATAAAAAAGTATGTGCATGGGTTTTGAATGTTTTGATACCATGTTGCTGCCAACTAGGCTCTTCCCGAGCTATAAATAATCATGGTAACTAATCATGGTGTTTCCCAAAGGTAGCAGCAGGAGCCAAGAAGGAGGAAGGAAGAAGAATGGGGCTCTCACCTAGAATGCTATAGAAAAAAGAGTCCATGTCGACTCCATGATGTGGATTGGAATCAAAACTAATCGAAGTTTAGTAGTTCACTTATTGTTGGAGCGTGTCATGATCTTGTGCCTAGGAATGTTTTTTAATGTGCCATTGCTTTCGTCTCCTCTGCTGGCAGTGCACCTAATTCTTCGATGGAGATTCGGATATTGGAGAAAAACCTTCCCACGGTTGCTTCACTGCACTACCAAGTGTTGTACTGTTATCATTTGTTAATTGCCAGGTAGTTATCCCGCTTGGATTTTGAAAAAAAAAACAGAGAAGGAAATGATTTGTCGGACTAATTTGTAAATATTACTCAAACTATAAATATTTTTGCAACATTGATTGAGATTGAGATCCTTTAACTTACCCCTCTAACAAACCTCAGTGATCTACAATGATAGGGAGTTAGTCGGAGTAATTGCTTGTCATTCATCGGTTGGCACTGAGATGAGCTCATCAGTGTAAAGTGGAACACAATGTTAGAGTTATATTCTAGATGGTTTCTTATGCGGATTCCCTTCGCTTTCCTCTCCCGGTTGTGATTCTATAAGCCGGTTCGAGATGGATACGATCGGATTCACGCTGCTATATGTACTGGCGTTTTCGGTATGAATCGATATTGTTTTCTGTGTAA